TGACACATGTACTTATATGAATTTCAATATGGCGACGAAATGTTGCAAGTTATTCCGTTCAACAAACCTGGCAGTACACGGAACATTTTTTGTACTCACTTCCAATCTATGGAGTTACGTCTCCTTATTCATACTTCATGCTAGGCAGCTTTGAGTATATATAGCAGCGAAAAACTGAGTCTTCGCGCAGGTGTCGCCGCGCAACTTTTGTTTTGGGTTGGATCCAATGAAATGCAAAACGATAGGAACGTACATACATATGTGCAGACAATTTATAAGCAATTACATCAGAAATTTTCTTTAGTGATCGCTCCTACGAATAACTGTTACTTATAAAACATTTTATTTGATTCACATATTGAATTTACTGTATCGAATCCATATTATTACTTATCTGTTTTACTTGTGAGGCACTTTTTTCAATTCGGTCCTGCATTTAACATAGTGGATGCTCACGTGATCCGGAAAAAGAGATCAAAGGTGCCGACACGAAGTGGACCTACTGGTTATACTGTGTATATAGTACATGGAGGTGGAATGCCTTTGTTCTTTGTACCGCAAGTCTGTTCTAGAGTCCTAGATTATTAGAAAAGCGCGACCGGTGTTACGAGTCCTGATTGAACTCGCAAATGGCCAATCATAATATTGATTTATCGGTATTATAAATGGCTGCCGAATAAATCAATCTTATGATTGATCGTTCGACGCCATTTTTAGTATATTTATAATATTTTTTAGTACTTTTGCCATAAGCCAGTCGCGCTTCTCTGATAATCTAGGACTCTAGTCTGTCCAAGTGTGGCAAGGAGTGAGAGAGAGAGAATGGTATACGAGCGATACCACGTGATACTTCCTCTCTGTTTGTCGAATGATCGACGCATACGCAGAGAGGACAAATATTACTCGTCTACCTTTCTCTCTCGCACACATCTTGGACACAGTTTTCGAGCCAACATTCCCCCTCCATGTCTACATACTCAAAGCTAGGGCCCTTAATAATATTTATTATTTTTCCTATTTGTATTTTTTCTTTGTATTCTCTCTCTCTCTCTCTCTCTTTCTTTCCTTTTTTTTCCTTTTCTCAATATCTTTTTTAAAAATTGATTTTTATTAATTTGTTTATTAATTGTATAATTACAGGTTACTCACAGTAAATCCTGAAGCTTTCCAGATTCCTACGATTCAAAGAGTCCTTTCAATATTCGACAATTATCAATTAGACACTCAGACAAATGAGCATATTAATCCAGCCCAAAGACAAGAAGAAAGTCTCCTTGTTGATACTTTTTTAAGTACAAATGTGATGTCTGCTGCAATGCGTTTTCTCGCAGATAAAGAATTTATAAGGCAGGATTATTATGAATATAAAGATATATTAAGAAGAATTTGGTTCAATCTATTTTCGCGTGGAAAGGGCAAGATTGGTAGCACTGGATTCGAACACATTTTTATGGCAGAAACAAAACAAGTAGATTCGGGTATAGAGGTACTTGGGCTACACAATTGGATCTTCTTCAATGCGGAAGAGATAAAGAACCACATTGATTACCTAGGATATATTAAGAAAATAGATTTAGGAAATGTGAGTATTTGTCGATAAAGGAAGTTCATGTTGTAAAATCTACTTTACTGTATTTTCTATCACTTCAAATATGAAATATTGGATACACATACTTACATTTTTCTTTTTGCAGAAGGGATTTATCATTAAAATGCATGCAAAATTCAATGGTTTCGATAAACCAGTTACGACTGTATTTGTTGGAACCTCGCCCGAATTAGAGATGGCACTTTACACTGTTTGTTTCTACGCAAGACCAGATGGAAATTGCCCTGTATCTTTGGGAGGCACAAAGTTTAACATAATAACACATAAATTTAGATACAGAGGAAAAGATTTAATCGGAACGGCATATCCGGACATTTAAATTTTGTGTGAATATATTAAATTTGTGTAAAAAATCTCAGACAGAACCATGTCTAAAATCGAGAATACAGAATATAGCGATATAAGAAAAAAGACTTTTTTAGGACATCTTAAAAAAACATCTTATGACATAATGTCTAAAATGCATAAAAAAACGAGTTGTTTATACTAATATATTTTTAATATACAATTGTAACGAAATTATAGTAATTGTATATTTTGAATACTTGTACACTCTTTGACAAAACAACCCAGTCAGAAATGTAACGTTGATTCAAGGTTGATTCAAAGACGTCGATATATAGTTGACAACTGTGACGGTTGAGTCGATAAGATATTTTTGCAACATCGACCAGAAGAAATATAGAATATATGTGCTTTTATACGCATTTACAAAATTTGATCAATTCGGCTTTAGATTTCAAGAAAATATATATGATACTTTATTAGAAATAATTAGTCGAATCGACGTCGATCAACGTCGATTCGACTAATCAATTATGCGATTTCCTAAATGTTCAATATAAATTCGATTCATATTTTTTATATAAACAATATTTATATTTTATATACTAGCACTACAAACGCGCGCTTTGCGCGCGCTATTTAACACTTCTTAGAACGAGTATAATTTTCAATAACGTCAACCTCAATACACACAACTGTTGAAATGCAATGACACAGTCGCTTACACGAAGTAAGCGCAGCGAGACAACCAATCAACATCGCGGAAAAGCGACAACAAATAATTTCGAGAAATGCGAATTATCGACTTTACATGCACTTTTTTAGATAGGCTGAACAAAAAGCGACTGGTCGAATCGACGTTGATCGACGTCGATTCAACCAATCGCTTTTTGTTCATACAGGGTGTCCCAAAATAAACTTTTGTCCTTAAAATGTCATATTCCTGATTCAATTCTGAGAAGATTTTTTCCTTTACCAAAATTTTATTCGAAGCTTAGTTTTCAAATTATAACAAGAAATAGTTAGCGAATTGAATTATGGAAGGTAGACAGGGGCGCGCAACTTATTGTCGAACGCAGGCGGTACGCGGGACCCTCGCGACGATCAGCTGACTGCTACACGCGCGCATACACATGACATTTTAAGGACATGCGATTACATTCTCTCT